ATTCATATGTCTACCCCGGTTCTTGTTTGTTTTCACCTTCACGGCCTCACTCTTACTCCCACTCACATTCACCCTCGTCTCCGTTCCTTCCTCCACCACCTTCCCCTCCCGTACGCTCAGTCTCCCATCACCTACAAACACGCACACGCCAATTGAAAGTGTAGCATTATAGGTTGACAAATTATGTGTCATAAAGTACAAGGTGGGCAGGAGAGAGAGTTTATGTAACTGCTGTCACAAGGCCACGAGACGTCGATCGATTTGTCCACGTGACAGGTTGGAATTCGCGGACCGCACAGGCATTCACAATCTGTTGAACTTGACCATCCTGATGAGCGCTATCTTCGAGTTGACCGAGTCAAACTCAGTCTCCCCTCCCCGCTTCATTTCAAACCCCGAACTACCTTTCTTTTTTGTTTGGATCATCCTTATTATGATCTACGTTTTTTCCTGGATATACCTAAGAGATCGCGCACCATGTCCGCCTACTCTTCATCCTTCTCGACAGAGGGAGTCGACGTCAGACCCAGGAGAGCCTAAAACTTGGAGGGGTGAGTTATAAACAATTGTGTGATTAACTAATTGCCTAAGGGAAGAGTTGGTTGCTTAACTGTTGAAGTTGAAGTAAATCTTTGAATAGGTGCACACAGGTAGTTGATAGGAACATTTTGATGGCATCACTAGAATAGACTTATAGTAGCCTCAGTGCCCTCCACGTTGTCTCCAAACATCTTTGGTGACTGAGCATAAGAAATGTGCATAGGAGTGTGATTGTCTAACGGAGCGGAGGGCGTGTAATTGTAGCACTAATCTATTTTCCTGTCAATACAATGTGGAAGTGTCGTGCGTTTTCTATAGTCATTACAGCAGTGTGTTCGATGAGGAGGCCAATAAATGAAGGTCTTGCTGTTGCTTTCTTCCTGTAGACGAGAAAGTGATGACGTTTGTCGTGCCGAGTGAGGAAGCAGACGAAACACATCTGCGTGTGGTGTGCTGCGAAGAAGAGTGGCAGACAAATTGGATAGAGTGGGAGGAGCAGCAGGCGTTCTCCGCTCCGATTAGGGTACTTTATAGGGGTGAGTGAGGGTGTGCATTTGTCATCACTTGTGGAAAACACTTTAATGCCACTTAGTAGGATTGTTCTGATATGATGAGATGACCACTTCACAGAGACTGGTACATGCAGCAGTGTGGGTGTGCATGCGTGCGTTTGA